CTGCTGCAATACAGAGATATGAGTTTCAAAATCAGGAGTAATGACAAGAATGTCATCAAGATAATATTGACAAAATGGATCTAAAGCAGGACCAATTACCAAATCCATCAACCGACACATCGTCTGCGGAGCAGACACAAGACCAAAAGGCATTGTAGTGAATTGATACAATCCTTTTCCATTTACCGCAAAGGCAGTGAGCTTTTTACTCTCTTCGCTGAGTGGAATCTGTAAAAATGCTTTCTTCAAGTCGATAGATGAAATGAATTTAGCATTCTGTAACTTACTCAGGATGATATCTATACGAGGTATAGGATACGCATCTCTGTTCATGGTTATACTGTTAAGTTTACGTCCGTCAAAACAGACACGAAAAGTCCCATCTTTCTTTTTTGTCAGCCACAGAGGGCTACAAAAAGAAGAAGTACTGGGCTCAATAATACCTAACTTAAGCATTTCATCTACTTCCTTTACTAGGCTTTCATGCCAGGCTTGAGGCAAGGGATATTGATATTGCCTGAAAGGCTTGGACGAACCCACATCAATGTGATGTTCGATGAGATGAGTTCTACCCAACTTATTTTTCGAAGATATAGAAGAGAATGATTTGATAACACTATTTAACTGCTCTAATTCCTGAACATTAAGTCGACTCATATCTTTAACAGCATTGACACAAGAGATATTAAATGAAGACACAGATAAGGAAAATTCAGTAAAATTTAACTCACTATTAAAAGTTTTCAGAAAATCCATACCTAGGATGACTGAATTCTTAACTGACGGAATGACAAAGAATGTAACCATTCTTTTACAGAAACTAACACAAATCTCAGTAGTGAATTGACCTAAAATTGGTTGAACTTGACCATCAGCTGTAGTCACTTGCAAACTTTGATCTATTCCTATATTTACATTGGAATTCTGGAGAAATTCCATACCGAGAGAACCTAAAATAGAGATATTGGAACCTGTGTCCAGTAAAGCTAAACAAGAATGTCCTAAGATAGATATTTCAAGATATGGACGATTATCCTTGTTTTTTCGAACCATCAATGAGTTTATATCTAAATCAACAAACGAAGACAAGGGATTACAGGAAGAAACTACAGAAGAATTACGGTGCTCGTGCTCAACTAACGTTGTCCTCTCTTCGGTTGGTATTTGCCGTTCTGTGGTCTTTTGTCTTTCGGTGGAGGGTGAGATGTTTGGCTTGTGGAAGCTTGGGCATCCAGACTCGAGAAACTGGTTCCTTGGTTTTGAGGAGTTTTGGACAGTGTTTGTATTCCCTGTATTTTGACGAGGAGTAGGAGCCAGGGCCAACCCACCCCTTCTGTCGTTTCCCGAACAGAATTGGCATTCAAATTTGCGGACACCTTGACGTCCACATCCATAACAAAACCGAATTCTAGGTTCAGAACATTCGTAGTAACCATGTCCTGACTGACGACAATTCCAACAGGTAAGCTTCGAATTAAAAGAAGAGACATTACCAGACCGAGAATAATTAGGCCTACCAGAATAGGATGAGTCGTTATTTCTGAAATTCTGATGGATAGGGGCTCTAGACACGCTGTCAGAAGACCATGACAAAACTTCCTCTAACTTCTTACACTTTTCTGTAAGATCAGCAATCGAGGGAATATCTGTAAGTGCCAGACTAGAATGGTACGATGGCAACAAGTTTTTCTTAATAATCCTGACAATATGAGGTTCAGAAAGAGGAGTCTCCAGACGTTTACACATACTAACAATCTCATTAATAAAAATTGTAACTTTCTCCTGTGGAGCTTGTTTACGAGACTTGATTTCGTCAAGGAGATTATCCTCATAGTTATATGGAAGAAAATCTGATCTGAGTTTGGCAACTAACTCTTGCCAAGAAGCAAAACTACCTCGGTTATTGAGGTACCAAGTAAAAGCTGAATCTTTAAATAAATCTGCAGCAGAAGAGTAACACTCTTCCTCACTGTTACCACGAGCTATACGCATACATTCTACCTTCTCTAAGAAACTAACAACGTTCTCATTATCTTGACCTGAAAAATGCACACCCCATTTATGAATAGGAGCAGACTTAACAAAAGGAAACGAGTTGACTGGAACACTAGCATTATGAGGAGTTGACTGTGCCTGGGGAATCACTTTACAATCAAGTTCACCTTCCAGAATCAAAACTCTGAAATTAAGAGACCTCTTCACTTCCTCCTCTTCCTCTGTTGTAGCTTCTAACAGATGGATTCTAGCTGCAACATGACCTAACCGAGAAGTATAACGAGCATAGGCAGTATCACTAGAAGAACCAACAAAAGAATTAATTTTGACCACCAGATCTGCAAGAGTAACCTCTATTTCAGCAATCTCATCCTTAAAATTAAGATGGGAAGCTGACAGAACAGCGAAACTCCGATTGGATGAAGTTTGCTTCAATGCACCACGCAACACTACCCTTTTCCTTTCCACCGTTGTCAAAGATGGATCGTTTAAGTGACGGACTCTCAACTCATACTCTAATTCAGGAGCTAACAGATGCTCTACCTTGAACGCAGACATATTACACAACAGAAATATACAAGAGAATGAGTAAAAGTAGGTAAAGTTTAACTTACTCTCTGTCCTCAAATTACTATTCTGAAGGGATACCTATACCAGTAATGTTTAATTGCTTTGGTCCAGCTATGAAATCCACTGAAATATACTGCTACAACACCCTAAGGAACCTAAAATTTCAAAATTGTTATTTTGAAGTAGTGACTCAACTTATTGGCTACTCCGGACTTGTAAAAATATGTGAAATGGTTAATTTTAAGTTATTTAAATTTTTAATTAATTTATTATTAATCTAAAATAGTTATTTAACAAATCTAAACAAAGCAATTTATTCAGTCTACACAGTATATAGCAAAACAAGTCAATTTAAGATATAGATATAAGGTAATGTCCAAAAAAAATTGAATTGAAGTATAAAACTAAACGTTAAAATGAAAATCTAAAAGCACAACCAGTGAAAACCACAACAACCCCAGATCAAAACCAAAAGTTTAAGGAGATATATATTTTTTTTAAAGGAAGAAGTGGAAAAGAAGCCACACGTTGGGTCTAGCCAATTGAAACGAATAAAATATGTGAATTGACAAAGTTCAGAAGAACTGAAAGAGAAGGAAGGAAAATATTAAAAATATGGCTAAGCTCAGAGGAACAAAGTTAAACGGCCAAAGAGACACTAAATCTCAAGTGAGTGTTCGGGCTAGCTTCGATGCACTGGATTGCGGCTTTAAAGATACAACAGATAACAAGGATAATGAGCTAATGAGACAAGAAACGAAATGAGACCTGACAATGTCAAACGTGATATAACTAAAGAAGGTCACTGGGAATAAATTTATAGAAAGAGAACACTAAGAAGAGAAAAGAAGGGCGCCAACTCAACGATAGTTGAGATTTTGAAGTAACAAATAAATCTGGAGATAGTAACCTGAAATACAAAAAAACTAAATAATAATCTTGTTTTGCTATGTTATATACTGGTTAGTAGAACTGAAATAAAACTCAAAATAGTAACAACAAATATATTTATAAAAAGAATGTATATAGATACATGTGTATAACCAATTTACATATAATGCAAAGCTAAATATACAGTGGTAGTGGGTATAAAGATAAAATGGGACCTAATAGCCCCTCCACAAGCAAATAGTCACTACCACTGGCCAAATAAAAGGTAAATATTAGTATCAACAAGAATAGTCCGTTAGGGTAGCCGAAGTCTTAACACTAAGGTTAGTAATCTAAATTTAAATAGTTCTACTAAACTGATAAACTAATCAACGTATTGTACAGGTATCAACAGTGATAACTCTGTTACAATTATCTTAAAAGTGAGTTTTCAATACTCCTTATCTATTTATTTTAAAGTCCACATAAAATTTATTTCCCTCCCCAAAATATTTTAATATTATTACATCAAAGTATGTATTGTATTATAACATGAAATCCAAGAAAATGAGTTATGGTCAGACTCACTAAATTCTTTAGTTAACCTAATAACCTATAAAAAATGTCCTTTTTCCTCCCCGAATATTTTATATTAATTAAATTATCAAAGATATTAACCACTCATATGCATATGAATAGCTCACAGTGAATTAAATATACAATAGCAAATGGTCACAACAACTTATCTTTAATAACAATAGGTCCCTCCAAACTCAGCTGGGCACATCAAAACTAGTTCATCATGGTGACAAGTCCCATATTTTGGGGTTACTGCAAAATCCACGGATTCACATAAGCAACCTGCTAACCATACTTTGAAGTGTATATATATATTTTATATTGAATATTTAAGTGACGGAATCTAAAAGGATTAATTAGTTTAATAAATGTGATTCAATAGCTGTAGCAGCATGGATTCAACTTTACCAAAGCACAACATTAAACATTAGGTTAGGTCAACATCATGTCAAAATTCATGAAGTTATTTCCATGGCATGACAGGAAATGAACATGCGCAAAAATATAGAAGGCTGTCCAATAATTGTAGGACCTATTATATTTCACCAAAAAAAGTTAAATAAAAATTGAACCAAAAAACTTAATGATAACGACGTGGACTAAAACAGAATTTAAGTTTGACTATATATAAAAAAAATGACCTTCTGTTCTTGGCAAGTAAATCAAGGAAATTTTATATTTAAATTATTTCGGAAGTCCCGACAGGGAGAAGGCCCTTAGGACGTCCACGAATGCGATGGAGAGATAATATATGGTCAGATTTGAGAACAATGGGGCTACCCACTGACTTAAACATCATGGACGACCGTTCGAGATGGAAGCAGGTTGTGCAGTCAGCCAAGACCCACCCCAGGTTGTAGTGCTACCAGAAGAAGAAGAAGAAGATAGCTGTTAACAGCTTACTATTAGTGTTATTATTTTACAATTTGTGATTTCTTTCCAATCTGTATTTATAAACTCTGTTTGGTAATTTTTTTATCCACCAGATATTTCGGTGCTACTATAGGCAGAGTAGCCAACAGAATTGGTAAAGCTCAGATGACAGTTGAAGGAGTGAAATATAATTTAGCAGCTAATAACGGTCCAAACCACTTGCATGGAGGTATTGTTGGTTTCGATAAGGTATTTTGGGAAGCTTCTGTAAAGGGTATGTATAAAAATAACATAACAATTTCTATGTTCTTTATAATTGTATATTTTTTAGATACCAAACTCACTCTCAGTTACCACGCTGCAGATCTAGAAGAGAATTACCCAGGGGATGTTATCGCCAACGTTACTTTCGAACTAACAAATGAAAACGAATTCCGTATCGACTATAAAGCAGTGACTACAAAGCCATGTCCCATAAACTTCACCAATCACACGTATTTTAATCTTGCTGGCAATGGCACAGGTGCCACCGAACTATACAAACATGTAGTAAGTTTAAATGCTGATAAGATAACTGAGGTCGTAGAGGGCATACCGACAGGTAAGATTATTATAAAAATAAGTGTTACTGTGCACAGTATAACTGATAACAAATACATTGCGTTTTTGAAGATCTGTTTTCATTATGTGAGTTTTTCATCAAAATAGACTCACTTCTTTTAAGTCGTTATAAAAGGTTTAAAAATACATTCTATTTTCCTTTTTCCTACTTTCCTATTATTTCCTTTTAAGTTCGACACCCTTTTCTAAACGTTTCTTTAACTTTAAAGTTATCCAAAATGCAGGATTTTGAAAGGTTGGTAAAATAGGCAACTGTTTGGGTGATTAACATCTCGTTGGATATATATTGTTGTCTATAGGCACCAAAATAATAACATGATTAACTTTATTCTGCATTCAAATAAACATAAACTCAAAGAACGACACCTGGGATGTACTTTTTTTTTATATACCCCTTTTTCTATCCGAATTGTCGAATAAAGGCCTCTCCCATTTCTCGCCATTCATCCCTGTTGTGTGCTAGGCGTTTCCACATTGGTCCTGCGACTCTTTTGATATCGTCGCTCCAGCGCATTTGAGGTCTTCCTCTTGGTCTCTTCGCATCGTACGGTCGCCAGTTTCCGACTTCTTTGTTCCATTTACCATCTTCGAGACGTTCGTTGTGTCCAGCCCATTTCCATTTTAATTTAGCTGCTTGTTTCGCGGCATTCTTTATTTTTGTTTTGTTCCGGATTGCTTCGTTCGTTTGCCGATCTATTAGTGAGATACCAAGCATCTGTCGTTCCATGGCTCGCTGAGTTTTTCGAATCTTGTCCATGTTCTTTTTTGTGAATGTCCAGGTTTGAGCTCCGTAAGTGAGAACGGGAAGGATACAAGAATCGAACACTTTGGTTCGAAGGTTTTGGGGTATCTTTTTGTCTTTCAGTATGTATGAGAGTTTTCCAAATGCGGCCCATCCCATTCTTACTCGTCTGCTTATTTCGGTAGTTTGGTTTTCTTTGTTTACCTTGATATTCTGACCCAGATATATGTATTCTTCTACATGTTCCACTTTTGTTCCTTGGATGCTTATCGTCGGTTGATCATCTTTATTCGACGTTAGCTTAGTTTTACTCACATTCATTTTCAGTCTTTTTTTATGGATTCCGTATGAAGCTCATCGATCATAGTCTTCAGTCCTTTCCAGCTGTCGGCTATTAGTACTACGTCATCTGCATATCTTAGATGGTTTAAATACTTTCCGTTTATCGATAGTCCCTTCGTTTCCCAATTTAGTGATTTAAAGATGTCTTCAAGTGCGGCAGTAAATAGATTTGGAGAGATGGTGTCTCCCTGTCTTACTCCTCGGTTGATTTTTTTTCCCTCGTTTTCATTCCGTTATCCATCGTGACTACCATTTCAGCGTGTTAATAATATATTATGTATTAATATCCTATATCTAGAATCTATTCTGCTGTTGACCAGTGCTTCCTCAGAAGCCCATAATTCTATGCTGTCAAAAGCTTTCTCGTAGTCTATAAATGCTAAACAGATTGGTAAATTGTATTCGTTAACTTTTTCTATTAGGACCTTTAGTGTGTGAAGATGGTCACATGTACTGAACCCTTTTCTAAATCCGGCTTGCTCTACTGGTTGATATACATCAAACTTTGTTGTCAATCTATTTGTAATTATTTTTGTGAACGTTTTATAAAGTTGTGATAGTAGTGATATTGGACGATAATTTTTCAGATCTGCATTGTCCCCTTTTTTGTGTATTAGTATTGTGTTAGCAGTATTCCATTCCTTTGGTATGTTTCCTTCAAATAGGCATTTATTAAAAAGTATTTTTAGGTACCTGATGACTTCTTCTCCGCCTTCTTTCAACATTTCTGCCAGAATTCCATCACTACCCGGTGCTTTATTTCTTTTCAATTCTTAAATTGGATTTTCTATTTCTACTTCGCTTATTTCGGGCATTACTTTAGAATTTACGTTTGTTATTTGTCTTTTCAGATTTTGCTTTGAAGAGAGATCGTTTCTTGAGCGGTATAACTCAGTACAAAAGTTTTCAACTATGTTTGATATCTGAGCTTTGCTTGTTTCTAGTTGGCCCTGTTGATTTTTCATAGTTATAATATTTTTCTTTCCTAATTTCTTCTTTGGGATGTACTGTACGATGAAATCTACTGGATCAAATGGATAACAGAGAAATACACCCTCCTTCAGTAAATAAAATTAAAGAAGCAGCTACTAGACTGGAAAATAACAAGTAGATCATAGTAGTCAGATTAGAAAACATTACCGCAGAATTAATAAAAGAAAGAGGAGACCCCAACAGCAAAAATAAAGCAAGGAACAGATCAGAATGTCGAAAAATCATAAAACAATCTAAAGCCCACAAACAGTTATCGAGTTAATATTGATAATGATGAAATAAACGTACTCTACTGCACCTCGCAATGCCTCTGTGGCCCAAACTATTTCACGAACCTCGATTAGACGATCACTTAAAACTATATCGTGGATTTTATCAATCAGTTCGTGGTTGGTCTTTTCCACTAGACGTCCAGAACTACGTTTGTCCTTTACAGTCACGTTTAAACATTTTTATCCAATGTTGTCGAAACTTGGACTGTGAATATTGACTTAATGAGAAAGCTGGTAGCTTTTGAAATGTAGCTTTTTAGAAGAATTTTGAAAATACCATGGATAAATCATATGAACGAAATGGTGTTGCATAGAATGGGAAGAGACACAGAACTTTTGACCAGCATTAAAGCAAAGACAGCATATTTGGGGCACATACTTAGCAATAAGAAGTATGAAATGTTGCAGCTGATTGTGAAGGGTAAAATCGAAGGAAAAAGGGGGTCCAGACAAACGACAAATATCCTGGCTAAAAAATATTCGCGACTGGACTAGGTTAAACACATGATGAATTAAGAGAAGCAGAAGATAGAGACGAGTTTGCAATGGGTATAGTCAACATTCAATAGTAGAGTTTGCAATAGAAGAAAAAAACAATTGTAAAAAGTTCATAAGTTCATCCAATTCAGCGTTGATCTCTTATGGTGTTAGGACTTTTAAATTTTTCTTCTCTTCTTCTTCTTCTTCGTCTTTTTATGTAGACATGACTCTGTTTTTTAATGTGCCTCCAATCAGTTGCCGTTCCATCGGTTTCGTGGTCATCCTACTGATAGATAGTCTTCCTAATAGGGAACCGTCTCTTGTCATCTTAATACTCAAGTAGTATACTCTCCACCTTACATCTACGTCATATATCTGTACTTGTAGCTCTGTTCCATAGTGTCTTACCACCAATTTTTCTAAGTGTTTTCATCTCTGCTGTTTCTAACATCCTTCTTACCTCTCTGGTCTGATAACTGTTTTGTAAATTTTGTCTTTGATTTGTTTCCCGCATAGCACTTTATATACTACAAGCGACATCTATTAAAAATACTTATATGATGTTTAAGTTAAAGTACTAATTCAAATTAGAGAATGTAGAAAACATCCCGATGTAAACGAGACTGTTCAATGAAATTTATAAATGATGTTGAATTCCATAAGATTAGTTGAAATAGGTTTTTAGTTCTATTTGAAAAAACAATGAAGGCTAACTGGCATGATTGGACGAGAGAAAAAGTTTATATTCTTTGTGTTTTAGGTAAACTGCCATGCGTTCAAAACACTGTCTTTGACTTACGGATACCAAAAGTGTTGGGAGATGTCATACATAAAGTTCCAAACGCTCCAGGTTTTGATCACAACTTCTGCATAACGAGAGGATCTGAACAAGAAAATGCCTTTGTAGGTAAGAAGTGCTTTTTCATCGATATAAAAAATAAAATTGATAAAGTTTCTTAACGTATGTAGAGGATATTTATCTACTTTTACCTATTTATGTAGAACCATTTGTCAAAATACGAGAAAAAGAAGCATAAATTAATTTACTTACTGTACGTCTTCTTTTGTCCACAACCTTCTGCACAAGATCTACAGAAGTCTGTATTATATCTTTATATTTTAATTACCGGTATCTGCTTTTTAATTTAATTACAGTCGATGTTATGATTCTTGTTTAAAAAGTACTAGACAATAAAATTGGCGAGAAAATAAACTGTATATACGTTGAAAAATTCTCATGACACATCTGTAATAGAATTCTAGCCATGTTTTGATGTAGATTTTGTAGACATTTTGAAATTGAGTATCACAACTTAACCATCATATTATTATAAATTGTTGTCCGTTTTTTATTTCAAAAGTACATTTTTAATGGCTATATTTTTAATTTCTGTACAAACTTTTGATTGTTATCCTGATTTTTTTTACAGAAATTCAAATAGGTTCTCAATAACTCGTCCCTAAGATTAAAATTATCAATTTTCTTCAATTGTTATATTTGAAATATTTTTTTAAGTGGGACCCCTAAATAAATTTCGTATGCCACTGAACGCTTCCATATTTCTATCAAAAGTTGTAGTAAAAGTTTTTAAATTTTTTTTTAAAAAGAAGATATAACCCTATCGTTTCCGACATTTTTCAATAATCGTCCTGTATCTCGCTAATGTGGGAAGCGATTGATGATTGAATTAGGTAATCGTTACTTTAACAAAAAAGAAGTCATGACATCTTAACTACTTTTTTTCTATGTCCTCTAGTTTTTGGTATACCTTAAAAACATACCAATTTGGGACACCGTGTACAGTGAGTCCACATCGCACCCTCAGTGCAAGACTGCAGTAAGTCAGAATAAGTAAGTTTCGAGATAAAGTCGATTTTGATTATTTTCGTGCTAATATCGGTGAAATAAGAGACAAGTTTTAAGAAAAATTAACATTTAATTATGATTTTGCATGCTTTTCAGCCTATATTATATTAACAAAAAATAGCAATTTAAATAAAATAATATTAATGCTAAAAAAATTAAGAATTTCAAAGTTACAACACTTTTGCACGGAGAAAATTGTTAATCACTACACATTTAGTATTAGAATTTTTAAAGTTACAACACTTTTGCACGAAGAAAATTGTAAAAAGTGTAGACACATTTTCTGTTAGTAAAACTGTCAATATTTTTATTTAAATTCAAAACAAAAGGACTATAATAAAAATCTGCAAATTAGGTTACCTTGAGTACAGATATTAACAAAAAGATTGAAAACTACCTTAGTAAAAGTTGGGAATTACGGGGGGACAATATGATAAGACAATCGCTCCGGAAGGTTACATGAAGATTTAACTACATGTTGGGATTTAGTTTTTATAGAACAAGTTTTCTGAGAATAGATATTTTTAACCCGTCAGTATTGTTAATACATAAGTTTTACGATATCTGTTTTTCCTTTCATAAGAAAAAATACTTTTTGGCTGTAAATAATTTGTCTAATTTATGTGTTTTTAATCCAATCTAATAAATAAATGGTAAAATGACATCGCACACATTTTATGGAAAATATAATCAAACTGGAAAAGTCACACAAAGAACATAAAACTTACATGAATAGATTGGTCTTGTAAATCTTTGTTTATTGTCTCGGTCGTTAATGGATTACGTAGACACGCTGTATATTAAAATTAAACACCACATATATAGATATTAAAATAACAAAAATATCTTATTTTTTCGTGCCTTTCATTGCTTTTTATCGAAAGCATTGCAATGTTCCGTGCAAAACTGTTGTAATTCTGTTACATTAGAATTACAACAGTTTTGCATGGAACTTATGTACAAAAACGCAAAATAGTTAAACTGTTGTTGTTCTAATATTTAGGCGGTTAAGCATTTGAAAGTTACTAAAGTTTTACAGGGGATAGATATGCATGTTTCTAATTGAATTCCATGATTACTTTATTTTCATAAAATTTTAAGTTACTGCAGTCTTGCACTGAGGGTGCGACATGTCCGAAGATAGAACCGGTCTCACCTCACTGTGACGTGGTACCTATCTGACCCCCAGGCTTTTCCTTTACCGCTTCCCAACGTGTAACTTACGTGAGGAAGCTTATGATCTTGAAAGTTACTTCGGGTGCCTGGCTAATGAAATACCCTCTGTTTCTCATCACTGTGGTTAGGCCACCTATCTATAGGGGTAGCACACATATCGGCTTTTCTCCCTATTTACATTACTGCTTCTATAATAGAAGTTACTCTAACATGACTTCGGGACTTAAGACCCTAAAAAAGATGTTCCGTAATAGGGTCTCTATGTCACCTGCCATTAGGACCTAAGCCCAAGCCGCTGTGTAAAAATCTGATGGGCCTTTTATACTTATTCATTTGGTTCTAGTGAAAGCATCGGCATTTAGTCGAACTTGTACAGAGAATTTAGTGCGATGACTGAAGGTGTATTTTTTATCACACAAGTGTATATTGCTATCACACACCCCGTGTATATGCTTATTTAAATGCTAGAAAGTGTGCGTGAGGTGAGGTGTGCATTCCCATGTGAATATTGCCATCACACACCCTGTGTATATTGTTCTTGAGGTTTTTTGGGGCCTTCTTCACCGCTTGTGTTGACTGTTACATGACTATCTCAGTATTCTTAGATCCTGCTAATTATGTCCTGCTAGTTATTGTTTGAACTGTCTGCGCACCGTCCTTAGGTTTTCAACATAGTCTCTTAACTCTCTTAATATTCTGTTGGGATGGTTTCTGAGGTCGTTAAACATCTCGTATGCTCTCTTATCCATTGTTCGTAGGATCTTCTTTTATTTTGAGTCTCTATATACGTACCTTAACGGTACGTATTTTGGTATTTACAGCGCTTCTCTAATTATGGAGTTTTAGACTGTTTGGATCTATTTCCTGTTTATTTTGCAGGTTTGTCTGCATGCTACAGAGACATACTCTAATGTTGGCAGGATAATGATGTTTGCAACTCTGATCTTTGTTTTAAACCTCAGCTTACTTTTCCGTCCTATTAGCGAAGAGAGTGGACTCCTTAATGCCTTGGCTTTGTAGACCGTTTGGTCTACATGTTCTGCAAATTTCAGCTTTTTGTCAAGTGTTATGCCTAGGTATTTAGCTTGGCTGGTCCATTCTATTGGAGTGTTGAGCAACGTTAGATGTTTGTTTATTCTCTACTTTCCATCTTATGCACCATGCTTGTATGCGATTTAGAGCTCTTTGTAGATGACTTGTAGCTAGGTGAGGATTTTTACTACATGCTACTATTGCAATGTCGTCTACGTATAAACTCAATAACGATCTGGGATCGTTTGGAGCGATTATAATCCCCTGCTCGGTTACATGTTGAGTGGTGTCATTAAAGTACCGTAATTAACATCGGTAGACACTGAGGGTAGGATCATCTTCTAGTACCTGTTCGGGGACAAATTTAGGGCCGACCATATGCGGACATTCGTATCTTCACTTTTCGATATGTTTCCTATACTGGTTTACGTAATTTTTTTAAATTATATCATGACAGACCTGTTAATTATTACAGCTAGCGTTTACCATCCAAACAGCGGTAGAATAATGGAAGTTTACAGTAACCAACCAGGAGTACAGTTTTATACCAGCAATTTTCTAGCAGAAGGTAATACTCTTAAAGGAAAGGATGGATTTATCAAAAAACACGGAGCCCTCTGTCTTGAAACTCAAAAGTATCCTGATTCTGTAAATCACGTAAGTAAAAATATAAAGCAACTTTAATCATCTCACTTATTGCACTCGAAAATTTGTTCGAGTTTTAAATTTTTAGCTGTCAATGGCTCTAATCCAGAGGTTGGCAACCTTTTGAGTCGGAAGAGCCAAAAATTACATTTTACAAAATTTTAAAGTTTTTAAAGAGCCACAATTTTTTTTATCAACAATAAATAGTACTCGCATAAATAAAGTTGATAAAAAAATATAATAGTTGACCAAATAATCTCAATAGGAGCGTTCGTTTTGCATAGTTTTAGAAAGTTTGGATAAATCTGGCTTATAACTTGTTGTTTTAAGTTTCAAACACGACTCTAAATTTTCATTTGTCAGTTGGCTTCTTAGTTTACTTTTAATTATATTCTTGCAAGAGAACGCTTGCTCGCAAAAATATGCCGATCCGAAGATAGTTAGTACTTCAAAAGCCAACTTATTCACCTCACTGTAGCAATCTGGAAGACTATTCCATGCGTCGAATATAAGTCCCTCAATTCGCGGCATTTCTTTCAAAGCTGTCCACTTTTTTGCGTTACGTACATATATTTCTGGACTTCCAACTCTTCCAACTTGCTTTTCAATTCTGTAAATTTTCCACTCCACAAAGCTTTACTTTTTAAATCGATCAATTGCATTTCTAAAGATCAAGTATGAATACAAATGGTTCAACGTGAATTTCGTTACTATTTGTGTTGAAAGGATTTACTATGAATGCTAAAGTTTTGTTGGTTTTTGTTGGTGAGGCTCGCCTCACAGATTTTTGCTATGCGCAGATTGACTACTTCTGTGAGTCGAGATATTCTTAGGTCGGTTTATTTTGGAATGGTTCATAGCATCCTGACATATTGCATACTTCTTTGGGGAAACTCGTCCTATGCATATAAAGTTTTCACTTTTCAAAAAGCAGCAATCAATCAGAATTATTGACTCAGAAGAACCCTTGTTTAAAAAGTATGGCATTCTTCCTTTACCTTCAATATATTGGAAACTTTGTTAACTGTTCATAATAATATATAAGATGTAAAAACACATGCTCATCAACATCATTACAATACAAGAAATAAAAGTCATATCATTATACCATATTCCAGATTGTGTGTTACAAAACTAATACAATAGATTATAATCTGTATAATTGTTTTTTAAACCTAAACAAGAATATTGATATTAAGGCAATGAATTCTAAACAATTTTATAAACTAGCAAAACACTTCCTGCTGGAACACTGTTTCTATAGTATACAGGAATTTGTTTGTTTGAGCTCCTAGTGTGGTCGTTTTTTATGAAAACTATATTACGCCTTACTGAATTGTTTCTTTTTTTTATAATTTTATATATCTAATTTTCACATGTATGTGTTTTATTATGTGTTCTTGTATTGTTTCTTAGTTCTTAGTATACAAAAGTGACTTATTTTTATTGTGACATGACATGTAGTAATTACTATGTAAAAATTGTCAATAAACCTATCTATCTATCAAACCAATTCTTCAACCAAAACATAGGCTGGGTTTCCCTTTCCTTGCAGTATTAGATTCAGCTTATTTAATTTCGCTGTGATATCCACCATAAAGTAAAATTGTTTCAACCATTTGTCGTCCTCTAATTCAGGGTGATTGATGCTTTTTTCATTTAGGAGTGTATTTATTTCATTCAAGCACAAAGCAAAACGTTTCAACACCTTACCTTTGGAAAGCCATCGCACTTTATTATGAAGAAGGAGGTCGGAATACTGGGCCTCCATTTCGTTTAAAAATTCTTTAAACTGACAATGGTAGAATGCTTTTGACAAGATGCTATTAGCAATCTTGATCACCAAATTCATGACCTCAACTATTTCGGCTGAAAATGTTTGGGCACAAAGCGATTCTTGGTGTATTATGCAGTGAAACGTAAGAATTTTGTGATTTGATTTGCTTTGAAGAATCGTTGTTGCCCCTTTATTTTTTTCTTAATTACTATTTAACTGGGAATAAGCCATAATTAAAAATAAAAATACGTTTATTGAAGTAACAGTAAATTTACTGTTTGTATTTTGAGAACGATTTCCGAAGTGGAAATTGAAACGTCAATTAACGTATTTTTATCTTTAATTGTGGCTTACTCCCAGTTAAATAGTAATTTATTTAAAATGCCACAAGAAAATAGCTTCAGAACAATATTTATTTTTTCCTGTCATACTTCTGGCTCCATCAGTTGCTATTGAAACGATTTTATTTAAATCGATCTCATTGTCTTCAAGGCATTTTTGCACGGCATGTGCTATATCTTCCTTTCTAGTTTGTCCTGAGAGTGGTAGCAATCCCAGTTCTTCTTTGTGACCTTGGGAACACATACACCTGACAAAAAAGGCAACTTGTGCCGTGTCTTTTACATCGCAAGACTCATCTATAGCAAGTGATAAGGCGGAAGAAAGTTGAATATCTTTCACCTGCAAATATGTTACATTTGAAGACATTTTAGCTACTCTTGTACTGTTTTAGCGGATAGTGGCAAATCTTTGATTTTATTCAAGATTTCTGGTTTGTTTTTGAAATTACTAAAAAGTTCTTCAGGTGCACTGATGAAGCAGGCCTTGATATACTCACCATCTGTGAATGGTTTGCCTTTTTTTGCAATTTCTAGTGATACTACGAAGCTTGCCATATTGATATTACTTGTAGATTGGGTTCCATTACATAATATGGAACTTGATTGTTGTTTTTGTTTTTGGAGCTCATCGACAGCTTTTTTTCGTTCTTCTCCGGCTAGATATTTTTTAAAACTTGTATAAATAGCCGCATGGGGCTCGCGAGATGCAAGTTGCCGATCCCTGCTCTAATCGATAACATAAGTAACTTATGAACAGAATAAGGAACAAATAACTAGTAAAAAAGGCAGGGTTTCAATATACGACAATATGTATATGACAAAATATCACCAGTAAAAGAAATGTGATATTTTTGGTACGTGTCCAAAATATTTTAGTTACATAATAATTTTACTAAAACTTATATCTCTGTGTTCACTGTTTGATTGGCATGCATTCATTAATAAACAATTCATGTTAAATTTATTATCAGATAGCTTCAAGTAGTGTGTTGTTTTTAACATTTTCGAAATATTTTCAGGCACACTTCCCCAACACAGTAATATATCCAGGAGAACAATATCATCATTCAGTAATTTTTAAATTTTCTGTCGATGAGGAAAACAAATTATATTAATTATCTACAATGCAGAGAATATATTTGGCTGTACATAGAATGCACTGCAATGATTTATGATATAAATGAAATATACAAACCAAAAACATACAAAATAAATAAATTTTGAATATATTTTATTGTATTATTTGAATTGCTGTATTTTGTTAAATACCCACATTGTTTTTCATTATTTCACATTCACATATTAGTAATTAAATGTTTGCAACTTTTTATTCACGTAGTAGATATAGTGTCCGTATACAATGCAGTACGGTTTTTTCAATTCCCATTAGTTGCCATAGAAAATAGTGTTAGGATACACTATTTTACAATGAATAAACAAATTCAAGTTATAAGTTTGTTGATAGCTCACTACAAGTTTAATCCTAATTAGAGAACTGAAATACAGAGAGGATAGGTAATACGATATAATAGTAAAAACCAACCTGAAACTGACGATTTAAGATGTTTTCGACAACCCAACTTGTATCTGCCGGAATACAATACAGCGGTCAAGCTTATAATCCGATTGGGAACGTATTTTGGCCGACCAGTGTCGTAGAGTATATGATTGAAACATTTGTTTGAACTAAATAAATATATTTTTTAAATTGTATTTTTGTTTTAATAAAACTTATAATAAAATAAAATATTTTATTCAAAAATACAGTTTTTTGCCATTTGTAAAAGATACATTTATTTAATTAAGGGGAAAGGCACCAAATGTGTTTTAAATGTATCCATTATTTTCGAATTCGGAGAAAACTAATAAATATTTTTGAAAAATTTAAAAGCAGAATGAAAGATTACATTATTACTGAGGGTATTATATATGTGTATAATGATGTATGTTACAGAAAGTCCCTGAAAATTTCTACAATGTTTATTTTATTATGTTATGCAACAGGGGTGAAAATAAAAGAGAGAATATAGTATAATTTTTAATTGAAAATATTGCATGCAAAAGAAACTTTTTATTTATTCTAATAAATATTTTATTCTGCCTTTAAATTTTTCCAAAAAGGCTTTTTAGTTTTCTCAGGATTTGAAAAAAAATCGATACATTTAAAACACATTGAACATTTTGACAGGCGACGTTTTGCGCCTTTCCCCTTTAATACCTTACGATTACAACTACTATCACTTACCTTATATAATTACGATTAGAAAACTATTCAAATTCAAAATAAATAGGATCAACTTCGGAATCCGAATCGTCTTGAGGGTTAATAATTAGCGGTTGTGTCTCTACGGTCGCATCAATTATGTTATCAAGATCCCACATTTTTTGTTCTTTTTCTATTACATGTCTTACTGCAACTTTCCAGTTTTGTTCTGTAATGTGTTGTAAAGACTCGTATAACAATTCACGTACAACTTGTATTTTATATGACGTATTTTTTCTAGCCACATAACTTTTCATTTGTGCCCAAATGAGTTCAATTGGATTTATTTCGCAGTGGTAGGGTGGAAGTCTAAGGACTGTGATGTTTCTCCTTTCCGCCATTTTGTCAACTACGTATTTCTTGAACTTAGATTTGTGTTGCCGGGCAATTTTTAAAAGTTCTACTTTTACCATTCCATCTTCGTAAGGCAGGTACTTATTCCGCAGCCAGTCAAGAATATCCTGTTTTTTTCACGCAGTTGTTGGAAGTCTTTCTACTAGTCGTGAATGCTAAGGTGCATTATCTAATACTATAATTGAATTTGGTGGTATGTGTTCAATCATCTGCACAAAATACTCGAAAACATCAGCTGTCATCTCCTCGTGATAGTCTTTTGTGTAGACCAACCTTCCATAAAGGCTTGCCTGGAGCTTAATATATTTTTATCTGATGATATGAGGCAAATCCGGATCATCTCTAACTTCTTGTAAAATTTTATTTAGGTTTGGTATTTCTTTTTTGAAAAAAAAATCCATGAATTTTCCTTCGAATACCATTTTTGGCAAATTCATCAAATTCAATAGGCTTTTTCCCTCTCTTTAAGTGTTCGTTTGTGTTTGGGTTAGCTATACCGTGTTTTTTTCTTTCTGATAGGAACCTATATATAGTTGACTCCCCTACGCCAGTCATGTTGGAACAACTTTCGACTATGTTGCGAACAGTTTTTGTGGGATTCTGAGAAACCAGAGCATCGTGAACATTCAGGACAATAGTCTTCTCTCTTGGTGAATAGATAGACTTACTGACTGTACGCAACAGTACCGGTGTAAAACTTGATGATGTTGATGATGAAGCCATCACAAACAATCTAACAAAACGAGCACGAGCGAAAGGTACGTATATGTTCGTAGGTATATGGAATAAAAAATCACTCACGCACTGCATATAATTCGCAAAAGAAATATTCGAGACGCTAATAACTGCCGTAGAAGCGGAAACACCGACGAGCCGTAAATTACATGCGATCAAAAACGTACTTAACAAACAAATTGTTTTCGTTCGTAATAACTTAACCATTTTAAGTTAAGTTTTGAATATAAACTAAACAGACGAGGTACGTGGCCAAATCCGGCATCTATACCCATTATATTATTAAATATCTGGGGAATTCCATCCTAATTATCTTGCAACCGATAATATTACCTTCGGATATAAATACCAGGTTTTCTAGTAAAGTGATTAAACGCGAAGATTAGTATTGAAATATCCAAAGGGATAAGGTATTCTTATTTACAAAATTTTTAATGGTTAAATTATTATTTTTATTAATATAATATAATAACCAACATTAGCCGTGAAAGTTTTAATTGTTTTTTACTAAATATATCAGTATTAAAACTGATATATCAGTATTAAAACATTATTAATATTAATATTAATTTTAATGAATAAACACCTCAGGAACGCCTATGATGATACAAATTTTACGACCGTTTGATGATTTTGAGGCATATTTCGTGCTATCAACAATTTGTGAACAGAGAATAGCTGTAAATCGGCAGCGTCCCTTCATAAAACAGACAATTACAAATTCAAACCTAGGCTCAGTTGATATTAAAAGTATCCAAGGAACAGTATACTGCTGCACACAGTTCGCTTATTCATTAAAGAAAAAATAATTTATATTCGACTCTTACATCTTCAGCATTAAAACCCATGTCTTAAAGATATTTTATCATTAGTTCGTATTTTACGATATCGGATGCCTTTTCATCAATAAGGAAACAGTGAAAAACATCCTGAATGAACACCATCTATTGATGTGAGGATGTAGACTATTCAGTCTACATCCTCACATCAATAGATGGTCGGGTCTTAAACCCGTACCATGACAAAAAATTTTTCAATTTTTTAACGTGTTTGTGACGTCCAGTGTCGACCTTTTATATGTTTTTTATATGTTTTAAAAAATTCCAACTCCTACAAAATCATAATTGTGAAACTTAAGGAAATGAGATCTCTCCTTTGTAGTGGTATTTAAAAATTGACCATAGCTCTGATGATGGCTTTGTAAAGCCGAAAGCGCTCAGCTAGGAATTGCCTAAAATATACACACTTCAAAAATACTTTTTTGCATTTTCTTTCGACCTGGAAATAGAATAGACTTTGATTTGTTGCTGTGCGCTTCGGAAAATGTCTGTAGAATGTGTTTATAAAAAATTGTAATTTTATGTGATTTATATTTGCTATGTGCTTTATATAATTTTAATATTTGTTTTTTTCTTCTATACAGCTGCATCGCCAATTCTTTTCATACATATTTACTATATCTTTATAATCATTGTATCACTAGATAATACTTGTAAAACTTTGTGTATATATTAAATTGGGTGGTATCCCGTTAATAAATAAATAAAAAAAAAACAAATGGGCAGTCGTATGCTCAAGCAATAAAATCACCAGCAGCAGAAAACATCATCACATTTTCCAAAGAATAACAAAATAAACTAACCCATATGGTGAGAGAAATAGTCACCAAGGTGGTGTATGAAGCGATAAGGGGGATAAAGAAGGCACTGAACTAGGTACGAAAACTAATTAAAATAGTTTACCGAAAAAATCATCTGGTCTAGATGAAATTTCAAATAGAGCTATGAAGTATTTTCTAGCAAAAGCAATAGTATTTTTAACTAACATAACGAAAGCTATCCTTAGATACAGGCTCTTCCGAAATCGATGAAAGGAAGCACACGTTATCATGACACGAATGTTTCTGAAAAACTATATGCCAATAAGCTTACTGCCAGCAGTCAGAAAGATCGTAGAAAGAGTAATAGTAAGCAGACTACAAGCTGAAACATACGAAATAGCACTAATCCCAGAAGCTCACTTCGGATTTAGAGCAAAACATTCCAGTGAATTACAAGTACTTGGACTGACAGAGTACATAACATCTGGATGTAACAACAAGCAGTACACAAGAGCAGCGGTTCTGGATATAAGCAAAGCATTCGACAGAGTCTGGCATAAAGGCCTAATATACAAAATGAGAGGCTACGTCTACAGTGAGGCTATGACAAGATCTCTTCATACTTAAGCAACCAAAGCTTCAGGGTTCAAAGAGGACCAGTACTATTCGAACACAGCTCCGGAGGCTGAAGTGCTACAGGGAGCAGTCATGTCACCTGTTTTGTATGCAATATACAAAATCGATAAATAATATTAATATAATTAGAAAAAATACTACAAAATTTCTTAATTACTTTTAAAATTAATTTTTCTAATAACACCAATTTTTATTATGGGTTTAATTGTTCTAAAGGCGATATAGAATAATATACGCGATGTGATATTTTTTAGTTTATATGAATAGATGCAAAAATCAATTTCTTTTTATTGTACTAAAACTGTCCACGAAAATACCGAAACGAGTTCGTGTAATTATAATCCAATCCACATACGCATCTGCTGATGTCCGTCTTATAACGGACATTATAAATCACTACCATGAATACGCAATAATGGTATAATTGGTGCCCCCGTTGTGATTTCATAATTTATTCAGTTGCTGCTGTTCGCTTTTTATAATTCTCTTCTTTTAATCTGTCTCTTTTTTATTTCGGCGCTGATTATACTTCGCAAACGAGACCACTATACGGCCGTTAAGTTTAATTTGAATTTAATAAGCTTATCTTCTTTTGACTGTGTCAAATCTTTTATTGCACTCACTATTTAAATTGGTA